AACTTATAGGTATCCGTAAATTTGTATTTTAACGCCTACATTTCCGGTTGTATTTGCAGTTCGGGGATGGACAATGAAGTAAAATAATTGAGTGCATTGTGGCGAATTAATCATTATTAACGATTCTTTTTCATATGTTCGATTTCAATAATAAACGTTTCTATTAAAAAAACACGAATGCATTACTACCAACATTTGATTTGATCTTTGTATGCTTTTAGAAGTAGACCTCCTCGAATAACCCAAGTAGTTTCAAGTTATTTTTCGATCCCTAGGCATATGCGTTGGCTTGATTACCTCCTCATTCGCGTCAGCTAAACAACCGGACGAAAATATCCAAACAGCAGACATCGTACGTGTTGTCGGGGAGGACCAGGGTCCATTCTTCAATAATTTCTTCTCCGTATACTTTATGAGAACGAAGGGTCTATTGGAGGTCACGTATGTACAAGTCTAATATTATTAACGATTTGATTAATCACAAATTTCGTGCAGGGTCACAATGACTGCTTTTTATGGGCTTCCCTGCAGTCGACAGAGAAGGGTCAAATTCCGGTTTACGTCATTTGTTACTAATGATCTAGCACACGCGCAGCAGAACCTTTTACTTTCAAATTGCAGGCAACGATCAAGCATCTATGGGAGCTGAGAATATCGGCTGATGAACCTGTCTAATCTATTGCCGATATACGAGCGGGTAGAAAGACTAGTAGTATAACAAACTGGTTCTTGTATTCGCGCTGTCAATAAAAAAAATGCTACTCACACCTTAACCCTTTCGTGATCGCAAATCTTGGCGACTATACCAAACGCGTCGCTGATTCTTCAGAATAAAGATGCTCCACCGATTGGCGGAGCTCGGCCAATCAGAACGGTCCAATATTTCAAGTTGCTAACGTTGAATTCCCATCCCATGCGTTTTTCGCACCATTGATATTTAATATGTGATTTGTACGAGATCCGCGAACCGAGTATTTGTCTTGTTCTCAATATTCATCGTTCTGGTCGAGGCGCCGAGCAGACTGCTCTTGGAACCAGTGATAGCCAGTTGCAGCTGAGACTCATCCCATTCCAGAAATCTATATTCAGCAAAATACATGCAAATAAGATGTCGAATTAGGTTGCCAACAAAATATTTCTGCATTTCAATAAATAACACTATTGTAAGAGATACAATAGCCGTTCATTTCCTGACTTGACGCCTTGATCTCATGCCACGAAAACGCGCGCTCGCACAAGATCAACCTGCAAGAAAGCAGTGGCTTTGGCGGGGCCAAGCCCTCAGCGAAGACGCTACCAAGTTGTCATCGACGCTGAACTTTAACGGTGTGTGGAGAGAGCTAAAGACAGCTGGGTGGACGTCTCATCTTCCAAGTGGCCCCGACGACCGATATCGGTATATCCTCCCCGGTTGTACTGGTAGCGGAAGAGCTGGCGTTGATTATCTGCTTGGGGAAGAATACGTATTGCGGCACTTCGTATAACATTGTGAGTAATACCTGCTCTCCAGCGTTTCCAACAATGCTGTTGACTCAAAAGAAATAACTACAGTTGTTGTAGGTAACCCTGGTGTCGTACAATATGTCGGCGGACACGATCATGCAGATGATCATGCCTCTCACACTGCTTAAGTGACAGCAGTCAATGCCGACCACGACGAACGGTGCAAAGATGGAGCTGGAGTAGCGGCTGTAGCTGACAGTGCAGGACTTAGTCGCACGCTCGGAACACAACAACATTGGTGGTGCGTCTCTCACTCGTGGTATGAGTATGACTAATAACTCTGCAGAGTACGCTGTGTTGATGTGTGTACTCCAAATATGTTATATGTAGCTCCAAGAGACCACGACCGTCGTGCCGATGGTGCTTATGGTGGCCGTGGTAGGTCCACAACAAGTGGCCAGAAGGAACACCAAACTAGAGGTTAGCTTCGTGCGTGCCGGGGGTTGCGCGGCTCCGAAAAACAAGAAGCCATACAAGATGGTGGCGTTGGTTTGAATGCTGATGGCGGTGGTGCTGAAGCTGTACAGTCCGGAGCTTCTCGTGACCTCGACCAAGCCGTTACTACCATACATTACTCTGTCGCTGAACTACCTTCTCCTGAAGCTGTTGCTGCCACCGAGCTGCCGATCACGATGGTTGTGGCCTGGTAGCGTGTGGTGGGGATGTGGAAGCAAGCTGCGGTGAAGGCAATGGTGGCGTTGCAGTCACAGAAGATATGGTGGACGTGGGCAGATTGCCACCCCACAGAGACGGCAGCCTGGCAGCGCTGATGCCGTGGACATTGTGAGTAGCCAAGACGGTGGATCGGGCAGTGGAGGTATCAGACGGCAACGACCCCCAGCGCGTCTTGCCCACCTAAGCCGTGTAGCTGATGGATCATGTCGGCGGGATCGCGGCCGCACCAAACAAAGTATCGCGACTCCGGAAGCAGGCACCATCACCTCAAGAACCAGCACTTCCCAAAGTCGTAATCTAGGTACATCAACGATTGAACAGCTTTGTTTCAAGTAATTGATGGCCTTTTTGACGTCGAAATCGCCGTGGATGACAGATAAGGTAAACACATGTGCCGGAACGGCCTACATCGTTGGTTGAGTACGTCGTCGTATCAAGAATCTAAAAATTGGAGCTGGTCTCCAATTTATGGAGCTTGATAGTCAGTTTTAAAACGCGGTGGAAGACGTCACTATGGCGGCTGTCCAACGTATCGAGAACCATCAAGCGCTAGTGCGTGTACTTAATCAGCCGGCATGGCTAGATTTGACCGGCAAGGGGACTGAAGAGGAGTTGATTTTGGATGCACCGCTTGATGAACTTGAAGTGGCGTCGGCCGAAGGAGAGTACGAGACGTACGATCCCGAGCAGGTTTTGCCAAGTGAGTCTTGCAGAGGTGGAAGCTGTGAAACATATGCGTTTTGAGCCCGACACGGATATGGAAGCACTGGCTGATCTGTACGAGCACCCAGATGAAAGTACTGCTGAGACGCGATTATTGCCAGCTTATGATCATCTGTATGCCCATTCCGCTAGTTCGAGATTCTTTGCATACATTCTTGTCTACTTTTGGAAACAAGTAGTCCTGGAGTCAAACCGGTATGCCGCTGTCAAGGAGATTCTGATCACCACACCCATCACTCTGGACGAGCTCATGGTCTTTATTGGGCATCATGCTCTACATGACGCTCACGGACATAGGTGAATACTCTAACTATTAGGGAGCCCAGACTGAAGACGCGATTTTTGGCGGAGCATCTACAAGTCTGGACAACGTGATGAGCTGACGTCGGTTCAAGTTGATTCGTCGGTGTTTTAGCTTTCGCGCTAAATCAAGGTCGCCAGTGGATAGAGATCCAGCCGCCCGTATCCGACCCTTGCTGAATATGCTTAAGTGTGCCGGAGGCCGCTACGTCGAAGGAGGCCGTGACCTTGCATTAGATGAAGCCAGCTTTGCTTGTCGGTCACGCCACAGCCGTCACCTCATTGTGTTCAATCCACAGAAGCCTGGTGGAAAGTATCACTTTCGAATGTATGTAATTTCTGCTCGACCACATGGATTGCTTTAAATTACCGTGTGCACTGCAGCAATAGAGATATTGCTGATCGTTTGCAGAACGTGGTGAGCCAAGCGGAGATGCAATGGCTCCGTGAGGAGCTATATGATGTCCAACAAGTACGCAAACATGTACTTGAAGTGGTACGACCGTACGTTTTTTCTCGACGGATTATCAACATGGATAACTACTACACAAGCGTCCAACTGCTGCTGGAGTTAGAGCTGCAGGGATCGTACGGGCCAGGAACAGTGCACAGCAGAAACAAATACTATTCTAAGCACACTGTTCCGCAGAAAGAGGAGTGCTCTCGGGGTGATTATCAGCAGCCAGTGGCTGTCGAAAATAACATGCAGGCGGCGTCGTAGTGTGCCGGCAACATTCTCACCATGGTCACCAATGCTGATCCATCTACCACCACTATCGTGACACGACGACTTGGAACTTCAAGTTGTGCATATCCTGCCTCCACCTGTATTTTAAAAATGCAATCAACTCATGCAAGGTGTTGACCGTTTGGACCAGATGCGTGCTAAATTCTCAATCGCTGATGGTCATTCCTACGAATGTTGGCACACAAAATTGGCCTTAGCACTCGTGGATATCGCACGTTCCAACGCGTACTCGACTCGGCGGATGACAATCGATACGTCAAGAGATCGGGACCCCACAGGACGTTTGTTACGGATTTTGTATCAGAGCTCATTTCGGGACGTTGGCGAGAAGCGCCCAGTGACAAACGAATGCCGTTCGGCCGCAGCGTTGCCACAGAGGCCGCGGCCACCCCCAGTGCTACTCCTCCAAACACAGACTTAGTGATGGTCCCGACACCGACTCAGTCGGCGCGGTGTGAGGCGATACCGTCAGAGCAAATGTACAAGAATAAGAGCAGGAGAAAGCGCTCGTGCGTTGTCTGTCTCTATGAAGGAAAATACGCGACTGAGATAACCGATTCCTGTCTAACTCACACCGCGTGCCTTTGCCGAGTTATGCACGGTGACGCTGAAACTCCATTCACCTGCCCACCGATCACTTGCGCCTGCTGGGACGAGTTGCACCGCTTCTCTCTTCAAAGTGGCCTTTTCAACGAAAAAGGGAATCTGCATAGGTCCTCGGCGTTGGCCAAGCTCAAGGTTCAATGTAAATGCGTTACCCAACCAGTCGGAGACGATCTAGCGAGTCAACGCAGCCTATTAGATGAGAACCGTAACCAGGACAACAAAGTGAAAACAGATGACAACCTCAGCAGAGCCCATCGAACCAACAGAGTAGAGTCACACGGCAAAATTTTGCGTAAACTTGAATATGTCTTGATTAAACTATTACCGTCGTTGTTTCTGTTCTAAATACTCTGTATTATGCCAACGGCTGTGACATTTCGCCCCCCAATGACATCGTTGTGGCCTGGGTCCAAGATGTTGTTGGGGTGTTGTCGTAGTCCGCGGGCTACTTGTCCTGCGGTCCTGGGACGTGATTGGCGTCCACCCTGTCATTGGCCTCGAACTGGTTAGGGCTCTTGACTTGCTTCTCCGGTAGGCCTTGCTTGAGCAGCACTCATTCATTGATGCTCTTGCCGTCGGTCTTGAACCCGTGCGTGCTGACCTTCCTGAGCACGAGCGAGTGTAGGCGCTGGGTGCTGCCGCATATGACCAGCTCGTAGAACGGGACCACCTACGGCGACTCTCCGCCGGTGTATGCAGATTCTACGTCCGCGGGCAGCCGCTTGGTGTACGCTTGGTCCACGCCGGCAGGTGGCAGCTTGGCATACACGCTGCCCACGTTCGCAGAAATCAGGTTCACGTACGAGCTGCCATAGGACACCATCTTCTCGTGCTGGGCTAGGTACGACAGGAACATGTCCTTGCCCTTATTGTCCAGCGCCTTGTTGAACTTGACCGACAGCGTGAAGAAGACCACGTCCTCACTCGTATTTGGCCACTTGCCTGCCTTGTCCCAGTGATATTTTCCTGAATGACCGTCCCAGCATCAGCGCACTATAATCCCCAGTCACTCGACAGTCGTGTACATCTTGATTTAGATTAGAGGAGACTTCCAGCTACCCCGTCCATTCGTGGTTTTCGCGAGCCTCCACTTGGAGCGAAATTTCCTTCGGCAGAAATCGCGATGGCGAGGACAATAGCGATACGTAAAAACGATCAAACGTACTCTCGGCATCATATACAGCTGCTCTTGTACGGCCAGCTTTGCTAATTCATCAAACCGGAAATCGTTTAGCAAAAACTAAGATGCACGCTAAAATGGTAAACGCGACAAAAGTGGCGTATTAAGAACGTTTCCTTGGCTCAAAAACACTTTTTGGCGTAATAGCAGCCTTGGTACATGCGCTCGCAAACAATGAACACCTCAAAGAAAAACCTCCGGTCGTTTCTTGATTCCAAAGCATTGGCGTGCAATCGTCTGAATCGCAAACGGCGCCGCAGCATTCCCCAGGCCAGCACCAATGTAAAGAAAGACGTCGTCTTGATGCACAGCTCCAATCATTGGAATCACGCTTAATATAGCGGCAGGCAGCATCTCACCTGCGTTCTCATCCGTCTTTCCAGCTGGTTGACGAGCGCCCGCGGCCGAAACGTTGCTGAAGATATCGCGGATAGCTCTTTCGGCTTGGCTCAGTTCCAGAAGATGAAGATGCAGCTTGTGAGAGAATGTTGACGTCGATGTGGAGAAAAACCACGGTGGAAATCTTGATAGATCACGTCCATACGTGCGCTTCAGAGCACGCAGCCGGTTCTGAAGCGCTTGGACAGAATGTTTACCCCTCATGGCCCGCGCCACTTCCTTCCACGCTACTCGCTTGTGTTGGGATTCATACTCGAGTGTAAGCGCTACAATTCGTTTGTCTTGTGCGTCGGTGAAGTTGGTCCGCGTAGCAAAACATACTGAGAGAGAAGACATGGATCTAACCTAGGAACACTATAGTTGGTATTAGCACGATTGGTGGCTCTGGGGCTAAAGCCTCGACCAAATTTTTATGATCGGTTTTAGGGTCTGCTAGCCTTGTTTACAACACTTTTTTCCTTGCTTTTCATGCGACTACCAGCCAAGCCCCAAATATGACGGTATGCTGGCCGAAAAAGATACGCGCTCCCGCGATATTCACAACTCAGTTTCGCCAGATGACATGAGAGGAGCTATCAGAAGCCGTAATCCGAAGATCTGATTGGCAAAAATAAAACAAGGTGTGGATTTTGTAGAACGCGGCAAAATGCCGCGTTACAAAATGTCGGTTTCCCAAACATGTCAAACGCGACATTTCGCCACGTTTGACCACGAAAGGGTTAAGAACACCAGTATAGCAGCTGAGTTAAACAATTATGGGGCAAATGTGATTTCTAGTTGGACCAAATGAATAAGGGGATCACAGAGCCCAAACTTATTCACAGATCGCCCTTATTGAATTTAGGTTGTTTATGAAGACTGCACATCTTTAGAACAACCAAATACGGTAGCGGCAATTAGAAAGGGTCAAAAACTAATATCTCTTTTATTATGTGGTTATACAGGACCTCACTATAAGAACCGAGGCAGTTAAAACGAAGTGACCTTCACTCTCAAGCTCTCTTTCAATTTTGAAAATCAGACCAACAGAAACAGCCAAGAACCCACTCCATCCTTGGCATCATGCACTGCGTGTGCTCGACGAAGAGCCGTTTCTACGTTTACAAATATCGCTGTGTCTCGCTTCCTCACCGTCTTCGCCTCACCTAGCAGTAGCAGCTTCATCATGTTTGCCGCCAACACGCCATATGAATCCACCGCAAGCTCGCTGTCTGGGCCCAGTCCAATTTCGGACAACCAAAGCCACCCTTCATCCCCACTGTGCCGAAGCTGCTGAAGAGGGAGGCACAGTTGCTCTCAACATCCATTTACTATTTAAACAACAAGAAGGTCCACGTGGTTGTTGCTGGAGACGTAATTGGTGGAGCAGGTGGCAGAGTATGAGTTACGACGGGCTGCACTATCTGGTGATACGCTGCGGTGACTTGCGCGAGCGCTTGCTAGTTCTTTAAGATACCTCTCGCAAAGCAGCCCAAGATTACCAAAAGCGGCTGGCAGCACCACTTTATGGCTCGCCACGGCCTCGAGAGGCGGCGGGACGACGGGGAGATCGGCTCTGTGGATACAATGACAAATGTGACAGTGAAGATTCTGCCCCCAAACACTACAGCGACTATCCAACCTATGGACCAAGGGTCATAGCGTGGTTGAAGCAGCGCTTTAAGGCTGCCCGGACACAAGAGGTAGCTCTAAGTCTACTTGACGAGGACACGGACGCGTACAGTATTGCACCATCCGAAGCGCTTCAGTAGATACGCGATGCTTGGAGCGAGATGCCTTCACAGGGCATTAAAAACTACTGGAGACATGCTGGTTTATACGGTGATAGAAGTGTAATTGACGATCTAGGCAATCCTATCGAGTAAGATATTTATTTTTAATGCAGCACAGTATATTTTTGAGACCTCCTCAATTTGTTTTGACTTACGTAACGTAAACGCCAGTACTTTATTCGTTAATCCATTTTTATTGCCTCTACTCCAGGCGGAATCCCGTTAGTAACGGGCCGTTACCCTAGGTAAAGTTTTGGTACCGAAAGTAAGGTATGACCATGATAGTCGTGGCGGTGATATCCCCCACCGATACTCACATTATCTATAGCGCTCATCTGAATTGACCCTCGACTCACATAAACTTGCGTGTCCGATACACTGACATTTAAATGTGGCTAAGACAGTCATTTCCTGGAATAGTGCCGCAGAGTCTTTTTCCTCATTCACTTCAAACCCAGCGATTCTCTGCTCAAAGTGAACCTTCCGTGCGTTCTAGAAGCAGTAGCAGTGTATTTTTGCGGTTCGCCATGCCACTGTGGGAGACGATGCCACACTTGGAGGGAGTAGATTTGCAGAGCATGCAGTACAGTAAAATACTGTTTTTGTATCTTATTGTAAATAGCTGCTCAGTTATTATTGCTACATATAAGTTAACATTGTATTATAACTAGCCGACTACCGCCGCTACGCGGCGGTAGTTTAGGTTTAATTCTAGAGGTTTGCCTTCCTGCCTCCGCTGCGCTTCGGCGGGATAATTATTGAAAAACCTGCTGAACCCCTGTGTGCCTAAATCGTTTTTTTTAACTCATTAATCTGGGTTAGCATCATATTTCCTGATTAAAATAGTTGGTCTTATGATCTTGAGTCAATATTCTTGACGCAATCTTTTATTATTGTAAGCGATCACTGTATCTTCACCAAAGCCATTTGTACTTCAAATAACATTTAAACAAACGCTACACAATATGTTTACTTTAGCGTCGTGCTCGATATCACGGACCATTTCTGAGCTCACATGATAGAAATGGTCTGTCCAGGTTGCACTTCTTACCCGCTTGTACTGCCTATTTGAGCTTGTAAGTAGCTAAAAATTGTTCACTTCTCACACAAAACTCAATAACAGCTTTAAAATATTCGAATTGTAATATTTTTATGCATGCAGCGTTCATTTTGTGCTGATTCAGAATTAGTCATTAGACACTCGATCCTGTATCAGTTATGATTAAAGCAATGTGTCGCAAGACGCCTTGCTGTTGTTGATGTTGATGGTAGTGCTTTTTGTTTGATAGTTTAACGATAATGGCATGATAATTAAACGTCATTTAGGCTTCAAGTTTATTAGCGTTTCTTTATGGGGTCTACTTAACCAACTATAAGTTACACCTATCGTGTTTTGTTGTTGTCTTGCCACTCCATTTAAAATCGTATCCTACGCCCTTGTCGGTGACACGTTCGCCCGCTAAGTAGTATAGGATTTTGCTGTCTAAACAACTATTAGAAAACAATGGTTTACAGCAGTAACACATATGGGTTCACCTAAAACTAGTTATTTTTATGGATCAAGCGACAGCGTTTATTAGCACAGCGTTGCTCTTACGGCCAGCTTCTACTGAGTTACCTCACACTCAGTTAATAATGAATATTTCTACAACAAAACAGTGGTAGTTATTCTTTTAGTCATTGATATTACGTATAATATACTATGGCCTCGAAAACATGCATTTCTACGTGTACGCTAAGCACCTTGAAGCATAGGAAGCGTCTTTAGGGCCTTTTAATTTGACAATAAGTAGCTCTGTTTAGCACTTAAATACTGAAAGCAACATGTATATTTATTAAAATAGTAAATGTTAATAATACTTCGAAATATTAAAACGATGCCGCCTCCATAATGGATAGTCTTGTGCGAATCTCCATATGTGCTCTGTAAACCACATGAATTTACTTATGTAAGCTACATAATTCAGTTTTAACCAATTGTAGCCGCCTTCGCTCCGCTCGACAGCCAATGATAAAGCTCAAGAACCTGAGCGTTTCGTGTGACGGACGGACAGACACCGTGCTAGCATTGATAGATTAGGACTAGCCGGCCGCCGCCGCTACGCGGCAGAGTGGCATGGTCTGTTGGATGAGGTTGCCGCAAATCTAACCTAATCTTAGTGGCGCGTACTTTGTGAGCGTCGTTCACCCAGTAGATATTGGTTTCGTGTACTTAGCCACTTACCTTTCTTTAGTCACATCCGGCCCCGTATAAAATCGTGGTTTGGAGCGTTTCGGTTACCCCGTACTATAGGTTGGCTGCTGTGTCCTTCAATGGCCCATGCTCTTCCGTGCTCTTCCTGGCTTCGTGGTTCCGTGCTCACCCGTGATTCACGCTGCTTAGTGGGTATACGCTCCCTCTCTGTTGTGTTCATGCTCTTTCGTACGGCCTTGTTCCTGGCTGCTAACTGTTTCCTGCTCTCAAACGTTTACGTGGGCTGCATCGGTTTCGTGGTACATAGTAGTTTCGTGGCCGTTGGCCTTCCATCGCTGGTACGCTAGACGAAGGATACTATTCCGTGGTTTCGTGCCTCCACACAGTCGTGTTGTTCCGTCGCCAGTGTAGCGTGCTCTCCTGGTATGGCTCGATCGACCGCGTTATCACGCAATCATGCAACCGCGGTGTAATTGTGCTGACACATGCTATCGTATACGTGTAATTTATATGCGTTTTTCGTATGTTATCGTGTTCTACAATGGCTTCGTGATCCGCGATGTGCAATCGTGGTATCCCGAAGTTCCCCTGTGATTTCGTGGCTGACACGCTGTCCGTTCAATCGTGTTACAATATACTATCGTCCTTCGTGGTTCGATGGGCTCATACTCAACACTGGTTTCGGGCTCTGTGACTCGGTGATCTTCGGTCTATAACTTCTGTGGTTGCGTTTTCTCCAATGATTTAGTGGTTGGGTCACCGTCCATGCTATCGTGTTATTTCTGGTGTTACAGCTGGTCTGTCGTTTGTGTTATCGTTAGCTACCGTAGTGGCGAGCTCCGTGGATCGCTGAGATTATGTTCTACCCAGGCATTGTGCTCCAAAGATTGATGATTTCCCGTTTCTGGCCTCCCGCAGGCGCAGGTTTGGTCGATTGATTGTGCTCTATGTTTAACCGTGGTCTCGTTGGAGGATTGTTTAGGGCACTCTCGCCGGTACGTATTCTACCGTGGCTTTGAACGTCCGTGCTCTTCCGTAACCCATGCTTTTCAGCAATCTGGGGAATCAATTTTTTAGCTTTCTTCCGTGGTACGTAAACCCCCATCATGTTCTTGTGCTTTCAATTTCTATGGCTACGTGCTCTCCCGCGGTTCGTATCTTTCTGAATAGGTCGTGGCTTTTGTTGTTTTCGTGCCCACCCGTACTTCCTCTTCCACCCCAGCGTGTACATTGTCTGGTTTAATATTCTTTCGTGTTTCGTGCTCTTACTTGAGTTCGTGGTTTTCAGTGGGCCCGCGTCAACGCGATCACCCAGTGCGCTTGATGTACGCTACACAACACATCGGAAAGTACGCCAACTATGCTTTTTCGCACATTACACGCGTGAATACAAACTAACTACCACATCTAAAGTTATAGGTTTGTTTCCCGTGGTGGCGGGGTGGTGTGTGTGGGTGTGCGGACGCCACTATAGTCACATTTGACAAATTCTAGTGATTAAATTAGTAAAAAAAACTTTGTACTTTTATCAAAGGTTGATTTATCCATTACGTATACTACTACTTCAAAACTTTCTAGTTCTAGATAATATTAGTAGTGTTTGTTTTGTTATCTAGCGCTAAATTCACTACATGTCTGTGCGTGCACTACTACTACAAATGGCTGCAAGTAGAAATATGAAAGGTATTAAGAGAAGCGATTTTATGTAAGAAATATTATTTTAAAAGTACTGACGTAGATGAAAATCATATTATAACCAATATTTACTACTAAAGTTCGAGTTTAAGCCGGAAAAATGTCACCATGGCCTTAATTTATTCAACAGCTCCTGCGACGATATCGTACGTGTTTGCTCATTCGCTCCTTCTACTAATGCCAATTAACGCACACACAGGCAGAGCCCTTTGCGTGAAAATGAGAGCAAAATGAAATTTAAACGGTGCTATTAAGTACGATGTGAAGTCCACATACAGTGTGTACAAAACACAATGTCGATTTTAGCTAATGGGGGCCGCCTTCGCTGCGCTCTGCAGCTTTTTAGCGAATCGAGGCCGCCTTCGCTACGCTTAGCAGCCAGTAGAACGCCCGCAATTAGCGTGTGTTCTATTAACCCTATCCTCGGACGGACTTACGGACAATCTGCAACAGTGCTGTCCAGTTGCAAAAAACGGATGGCGTCACTGCAACGTTAAGTTTCCGGCTCTATCCGGGTTCTATTCGAACGGAAATGCCACTTTTGCAACGTTGAGCCAGTATTAGTACTTAATCGGTTATTCAAGGTAAAAATCTCATTGCTGAGAGAAAGGATGTCATGGGCATGAAAAGCTAGAGGCGTTGGCAGGAATTCTATCAGCCATCTAAACCCAAACCCAGACCTTCCTGGGCATTAACCCTACAGGGCCGAGTGAGGTTTATAATAGCCATGCTTGGTCCCAGATAAGTTTGTGATTATCGTCTCCCCTAAAAACGATCATGTAGGAGAACTACGCCAAATTGAGCGTAGTTGAGTAAATAACTAAATCCATTACAGTATGTAATACACATCGTCCGTATACATATTATGTGTACGGACCAAAAGTATACTTCAAAAAGAAATTTGCAGGAACGATCTGCTGATACGGATTGACAATACAAATAATTGCACTACTGTAGTAAAGCGCATCACGCCATATTACCGGTAAATACAGCATACAGTACAGTGCTTGTTCAACCATAAAGTTCATTTCAATTCTTAGGTACTTCTGTTGAACAGTATTAATAGTATTTGAGAATTGAAGAGCAGTCTGTTCGTACTAGAATTGCTGAGACATCTCTTTTCCAACTGTCTGCCACAAAGTTATAAATGTACTGTAGCAAAAGGTACTTGCCAGGTAGCTGCTGCGACAGTTCGTGCCAGTATGAGAAATGTTCATCTATACAAACCGGAAAATTCCTGAATTTCCTAGACTCTTCCTACTGTAGTAATCAGTGCGCGCTTTGACTCAAGTTTGTAGGTTACATTCCTACATGTATCTCTAAGGGCGATCTGATTACCATAATAAATGACAAAAGAGGAGGCAGTGGTTTGAAATACGGGAACATACGCGGTACAAGCGGTAAAGTTCAATTTACACCAAATTCGCTCTACCAAATACAGTACTAGTACCTGTATTGACAACATTAGACTCAGTAGCCTCACCTACTGCATGTAGCACAACATCTGAAGGCGTCAAGTAGCACAAGGCTAGTTTCGGTCGTACTTTAATAGTTAGTTTATCACCAGAGATTCAAGTTCCGAATTGCACAAGTACTGTACGAAAACACATTCACGATGTTCACATTTTATAGCATGTGGTGCTGAAAAGGCAGCTACAGTACCTAGCTAGCCGTATAACTGACAGTCACTTTCATCTTGTTTTCACTAAGGAGACCACTTTTTAACATCAAGATTTGTGACTGTACAGCTGTAGCTGTATCTGGTTCAATCGGAAGAGCCGGTAGATCAGCGTTTCTGCAAGTGTGCACTTTGAGAAACCATTACCGGTACTGTATCCTGATCTCGGATATCTGTGATTTCATAGGCATTCGTAGGTACCGTATGCCCTTCGACTCAAAATACCGACATTCCTATCTCATAGTTTGAGATAGGAATTTCAGATCATTTTGGAGTCACTTAATGGCAATCGTTTAGCTGAATAGAAATGATAGGCCAATCGCAACTCGTCCGTCACTTTGATCGATCGGTGTACTGTACTGTGTTTGTGCCTCGTCCAAATGTGTGTAATCATGACACCAGCTCAGCCGCTCTCGTCCGTTTGTATTCGCTTCCAATTTTTGCACAAGAGCATAAATGCCATTCGTGTTCAGGGGTACTGTAGCACCCCCCTACTGTGGGCAGCCGCTACCCCTGGTCTTGTCGGAGACATGGTTTCGAAGTGATCGGATCTACCGGGTGTCAGCTTTAGCGTATTTCATTGTAGCCTTTAATAACAAGAGGACGTGTCCAATGACGTCCTCCCGTTTGTCATTCCTGTGCCGCTGTTGACGCGGTTGGTGTGCAGTGTTGCTGCTGACGCAGCTTGCCCTTGTAGCTTTTTCAAACGACTTCGACTTTATTAAGCTAAATATTCAATCCTTTCACAAGGTGAATCTGGTACTGTAAAGCACTGTGTTTTCCAATAATGTCTCATCGATTTTAAAGCTCTGATTAAACATGACCGAAGCATAAAACTTAGCTTAAATGTGGTGGAAGAGATTTGTTCTAATATTTGTTATCAAGCTTCCTCTTCGAAAAGTGTCGGCAGATAGACTCGAAGCCCAACCTGTCTTCTACTAGACTTGGATAAAATAAAGCGAGATCGATAAAATTGACAAGGCAAAAAGGACGGACACGCAAACTACTGGTTTTTAAATGTTTACGGGGGTATCTTGATGAGCAAAAACAAACTACTAATCATGCGGCTGGGAATTTGTAAAGTGCTTGCTACATGGACAGCCTCCGTGATGGGCTATGAGATTTGACGTGGGGCTGGTCCAGGCCGCGATGAAAGGCTATAGGAGGCGCACCATTTCCTAATTTTCTCGTCCAACGCCACATCATCGCTGTTTTCCTCTTATAATGCGTGCTTGTGCCATCCTGGTGGTCGCTGCTGCCGCTGTACTTACCGGTTCTACTGCTATATCCTCCACCGATGCTTTGGAGCTGGCTACGCTCTCCAAGACTGCCCAGGACGTCGAACTATCGTCCGTTGCTGCGCAGCCAAGAAGCAACATCCAGCGGCGTTTGAGAAAACATAAGACTGTCAACACCAATAGCGAAATGGAGTACGAATCGGAAGCGGAAGCTAGAGGCTTGGTGCCGGAGAAGCTGACCAACCTCGTGAACAAGTTCAAGAAGGTGGGGGGAGAAGTCATGCTCAAAACCAAGAGCTTGAACCAACTGAAAAAGCTTTCTGAAAAGATGGAGGAAAAAAGTTTGTATGCGCTTACTGATTTGGAGAAGAAGGGATACACTCCTGAAACGCTCAGGGACGCCATCAAGAATACCCCGCCCAAGGGAATGAAGGATGCAGATGCCGATGAGCTAATAAAGTTTTACGATGAGTACTGGAAAATCTTCCATTAATGGAGGGGACTGAAAAAATGAGAAATTGTGGGCGATGTCGACATAGCGGATGGATCACTAGTTTGAAAAATTATGATACCCCAAATAACACGCTTCGTTCTTCATTCATGTGCCGGATTACGTTTGCGTGAGGTACATCATTCGCATTCTTGTACAGTAGAAGTATTACGACATGTCGTCTTAGCCGACAAAATTGCTGAAACTATACTAGAGACGGACGCGCTTGAGCTGGAATCGAGTTTTCTTACCAAGGATAGAGTTGTGAAGCACGAGAAAGACAACAGAAAAGTCGCGTGGGCCAGTGTTGTCAGATCTGGTGTTGATATAGTCGATGATGGCACCAGCAAGAATCATGATAACTTACAGTTAAACAAGGTGGACGGGAATATATTTTGGGGGTATATTACGGCTGTGGAAACATAAACGAATATTGTTTTCTTTGACGATCAATAATAATTGCAATATTGAAAAGCTAGATGTTGGATATTCCAATAAATTGGCCATTTTATGAGAAGTTGACATTAATACTACATATAGTACTATTAATAGTACTTCAGGTAGAAAAATTCATGAACCTAAATGTCGATGAAGATGTCCTTAAGCTGTGAACCGTCATATTTTAAATTTGACGGTGAGAATCCAAGAACCTGGATGTTATATTTCCAGGCTTTGTACTCGCTGGTATGTTGACAATACAGTAGTCATCAGCCGATATTCTCAGCTCTCATAAATGCTTGTCCTTTGCCTGCAATGAGAAAGTAAAAGGTTCTGCTGCGCGTGTGCTAGACCATTGGCGGTTACTGACGTACACCGGAAATGGACCCTTCTCTGTAGACTGCAGAGGCCCAAAAAATAGCAGCCATTGCGACCCTGAACTAAATTTGTGATTATTGCAATTCTTCCTTAATATTAGACCTGTAAGTGATCTGCAATAGACCCTTTGTACTTTTAAAGTATTCTGAAGTAGTAATTCTTGAAGAATGGATCCTGGTCCTCCCCGACAACACGTACGATGCTTGAGCTGCTAAAAGAACCTTGAGAACTGAGGTTGCTGTATATGTCGGACTCGTCCATCGCTCTTTGGCACTACAATGAGTGGACTCTACCGCGCCGGAACACCTGCTGAACCAGGAGTACTAGCGAGGTTCGGGCTTCTGCTGCTGACTCCTTTTCACGAGGAAACTACTATTCTTGCTAATCAAGAAATCCAATTTCCTCGCATACGCAGTCGTGGGGGCATCATCATACATATATTCAGTAAGAGCTAACGGATTAATTTCAACTCATGTGGAGTTGAAGACCTCCAATTGTGAGGATCCGGAAGCTCTACTGAAGTCGGCGCATGTGTCTTGAGCCACTGACGATCCTGCGGTGGCCCGAGCTGTTCAGCACTCGGAGTGTCGGCACGCCGCGCTGATTAGTCTTGGAGCCTCGAAGGCGAATGTGCACTGTTGAAGCCTTGTGTGCTCGCGTGGTGGCGACACCTTGATGATTCAGCACGACGATGTCCTCGGCGTTGAGGGTAAACCACGAAAAGCTTATCCTATTAGAAGCGATTTCCGAGCGCCGTAATAAAAAGAAGAAAGACAAACACAACCATAGCGCTTGATCGGAAGGGTTGGGCAAATCGAGAGCATCGAAGCAGCTCTCCAGCATTTGGAGAGATACGGGGGCTTTGTGCGTAGCTGGCTGGTCGAGACGATTGATGCCCTTCAGAAGCATGCGAATTTGTGTGTTGTCGCTCGGGAACGCCATGTTGGCGGCCAGGAAAAAATATCGTATACCGTGTAGTGTAGATGCAATAGTTGAGCCACGCGCGGGTCGGCCAGAGCCGTAGCCGACCTGTAGACCATGAATTGCGAAATCGGTGATGAACTGAACTTGGTCGCCCAATGTGTAGCTGCGTAGCGTAGGGTCCACCCCGTTGCGAGTTGCCCAGGCATACCACGCGCTTAGCGCGCTGCGGTATTTGCCGTAGGTTGATGCCGCGACAGAGTGGGCTCTGAGATAGAACGCCAAATCGCTTCCAGACCCGACACGTCTGTTGTCAGAGTAGCCTGCGTCCAGTCCAATGTTAGTTTAGCAAATAGAGATGCATGTTGAGCGCTAGATGTTACGCGAGAGCCCGCGTCAGCAATCCGGTTGTCTACACCGGCCACGTGAACGGCAGAGAACCGGAGCCTGTATTCCGCTTCCCAGTAGCCAAGCAGTCTAATGACGGTTTGCGCTCTGGGATTGCGGGACGACATTTTGTTCTGCCATGCCACCGCCGACGTGTTGTCGATGCGGAATTGAACATACACAATGCCGCTGCTGCCCGAACGTTGTTGTCTTGACCAGGCTGGACCCCATGTGTGCACTGCAAAGGCGCAGTAGTTCCCTGTGTTTAATATCGAAACCGACGGTGGAATCAAGTTTCGATGCGTCGATCATCTGACGCTCATCGCTGGAGAATGTGTATTGGAGCACCATTTGTGCCGTTGAAACCAGAGCACAGAGGCCACTGTCGGAAGCGTCCATTTCCACAATGGAGTCTGGTCGGGGCGCATTGTGGAAGTATTGTAGGGGAACGCCGTTGGGTAGCGGGGAACGTAAGATGTAGGACCTCCAGCACAGGTCCTGGCGCATGTCCGCGCTAACAGGCACCCGATCCCATCTGCGAAGCTGGTTTTCTTAACGGCGTAGGCGATGTAAGAATGGGCGAGCGGGGCGGACACACGTGGCTACGTGACGTAGACGACCGAGTAGTGAGCGATATTCGGACCGACTGAGGGACGTAGTGGTTAACGCCGCTGCCACGCACGCTTTGGCTTTCTCTATCGTCTTCCGGGGCATGGCGACGTGACCGATCTCAGTGTCAAAGATAAGACCGAGAGCCTTCTGTCGACTACTCCAAGGCGTGAATTTGGCTTCATTAATAGCCGCGTGACCGAGTACGGTGATCATTGCGTGACGAAGTGACTGCTCCGTGTCGCTGCAATTGTTGCCAATATCGGCTGCCACGTTGATGTGGTCGTCCACCCAGTAGTAGTTGAACACGCCTGAAGGTTGATGCGGGGTGACGGAGTTCCCGTGTACATGAGCGATCGCTCCGCCGACAATTTCGTCCGGCTGTTTAGCTGACGCGAATGTGGAGGTATTCAAGTCAACGCATGTATTTGGGAATCATAAAAAACTTTGAAACTTATAATCACGGTATGGGCCCACTGAAATTTTTTTATTAAATCTGGTCGATTTGCAATGGTTTATTATTGGCTGTCGAGCAGGTCTACTTCTAAAAGCATACAAAGATCAAATCAAATGCTGGTAGAAATGTATTAGTGTTTGTTTAATAGAGAAGTTTATTATTGAGATCGAACATATCAAAATTGGATAAATAATAATGATTAAAATGCCACAATGCACCATATTGTTTAGTTCATTATCCGATCCCTGACCTACAAATACAACCGGAAATGTAGGCGCTAGAATACAGCAATACTGATATCGATATTTTTCTGTTTTACCAACGTCGCATTCAATCCATGTGTCTCACTCAGCCCAACTTTTTTAAGACATCCTGCAAAGAAAAATTATTTGAATTTAGAGTCCAGTGGTATTTACCGGTCGTGCCCAAGAAAATTACATGGACTTGTACCGCCATGTCCACCGGGTTCGTTGTGATACACTAGATGATATGTCGTGTGCGCTAAATGTACTTGATCAAAAATATACATCCCTTCTTCAGCGACAGGAAGGACGACTGTTGAACGCGGTCGTATAGAGGTTGCTCGAATCGACTGGCAAGTCCAACTTTATCACGTTCGTTGTGGAGAAGCAGGAGGTGTCGGAACAAGTTTGCCAAGCGGTCATTCTATCGCCTGTTCCGTTGCTTCTGCCCTTGGTATCTGCGTGTTCCTGCGGTGTGTCTTGGCTTTCAGCCATACCGTATTACGCTCCGTCTCAAAGATACAAAGTTATCGCCTTTCTTGCGAGCTGCAACAGGGCAAGAATCCGCCAGTCGCTCGGATATCCCTCCCCATCATGCCCTGAGCCACTGGGAGGCGACGGCAGTGTGACGTGAGGGTTCACCAAGGCAATCACATAGAACAGAGTGACGTCTGTTGAGACATGCACTGTATTGTTTAATGCAAACGGAGCGAATGGGGGCATCTGGGTTCAGCGTTTGGGCGCCTTAGCTCATACGCCTCGGAGAATATCCTCTACAACGCAATTTACGCGTTCGAGTTTACCGTCAGGCTGCAAATGATATGCTGTGAACAAGTACAAGCGAGTGCCGAGCACCCTGAAGAGGGACGCCGAGAACTTCACGTTGAACCGCGGGTCTCTATCCGGGTCCATTGCCCCAGGCAAGCCATATTGGCGAAAGGCGCAGTCTAAAACAGCAAAGCTGTACTTTCACCATCAATGGTGGCCAGGCCCGCAGCTTAATGAGCCATCTAGCTCAATCGGTCTACGAAGGCCACAATACCCGTATTTTCCGCCTTATCTTTGGGAAGACCAGCCCAAAGTCCATTTTTGTGGACTGCCAACGTCCCTTGGGGAGAGGCAAACTCGCTACCGCCGCCGTGCTCGGTGCGGGCTTCATTCGCTGACACGTCTCACATGTGCGTCAATAGGTATCGACCCATTTATACGCCTTGAGCCAGCAGTACATCTAACGCGTGACGGTATGAGCCCAAACCCATAAGGTTAGATCTGATATCAAGTGTGTATGCTCTGAAGAGGTCTGAGGCTAGCCGCCCTAGATCGAGATGGGTCGGCCTAGATCCAAGTGAGCAAGTACGATCTAACACGATCTGGTGGCGACGCGAAGATTACGCCACGAATCGGGAAAAATTTAGTTGAATAGCAACTGGGTGGTGGTGAAAGGTAACGGAAAGCAGATAGCCAGCTATGTAAAGGTCATCAAGTGACTGTGTAGGAGAGTATGGCAGGCGGAATAAGCCTTAACCATAAATCAGAACGTAATTCGCATTGGACGTCGCAAGTGCCCTTCT